AGGAGTGTGTGGTGGGGGGCAAGGGCCAGGTAGCAGGGGGCAGCCACAGGCACAGAAGGACATGTGGCAGGGGGCTCATGGCAAGGGGCAGGGGAGCAAGAGCTGTAGGGCTGGCTCCTGGCTGCCTGCCACTGCTTTCTCCATCACAGTAGTGAGGGGGATGAATTTAAGACCAAACAAATTTATAATATTTCATGTATAGAGCCTAATGATTGGGTGGTTGTCTTAAATTCTAAGTCATCTTGGGTTCATGTAAATACAGTATTATAACTGCAAAGACTGTATAAACGTGTTTTCCAGAACTGTGTTAATGTCTTAAGTACTAAAGACAACCTGGCATTTGGCTCTTACTGCCTACAAAGGCTGAATTATAGAAGTGATTGCATAGCATGTTGAAGTTATTTGTCAAACAGGGATGTATTTGGTAGCCCTGTTGGTCTGAGATGAAAAGGAATGTAAAACTCTAGAACTCGTGGTTCAGAGATTATAACTTTTATTAGACCAACTAAGAAATCACAAAACAAGTATCTTTTTCTGCAGGCTTTCCAGCTCATATGCCTTTCCTCAGGGAAAATTAAAGATGGTAAAAAGTCTCCATAGGTAGAAAATAAACTTCATTTTTGTGCAGAGGAAGCTGAAGGTGGAAGTCTGGAGCAAAAACAGGGAAAAGATGGTTCTATAGCATTATAGGAAGAAAGTCTTAATTAAATGATTCACCATGCTTCTAATATGGTGTGTTAGACAAAATTGTTGCAGAAGCATGACAGTTCAGGCTTTTCTGGCATGAGTTTTGGATAACAGGTAGTTTCACATTTTACAATTTTAATTTTGTTTATACAGATGAACTAATTCATAGATATGTACATATGCACTGTTACTTTCACCAAATTTCTCTATCTGCTCAAGAACTTCAAAGCTATTTAGTGTTCTCATTTGTGGCACTTTCAAAAAGCAGATTTGTAATCAGGAAAATAAATGCAATGGAAACTCTACAGCCAAAAATCTTAATTTTTATAAGGATGTCTATTGAAAAGTGCTTTCTTAAAATGTTATGCTACGATAATATTGGCACTGTGTAATAGTTCTTTATTTAAAAAGTTTGTTTTATACATTTTAGCTTAAGTTAAAATGCAGAAAATTGAGCTCTTTGCCAAATGAATGATAAATGTGGGAAGGAAAACCTGTAATTTTTAAAAGATATCAGTCACAACCTATGCAAAAAGGGAAAGATTTACAAAAATAGCATAATGTGGTATATTAGTACCTATAGCTGTTTGTGAAATAGACAATAAGCCCTCAATTTCCCTAGTCATAACTGAACATGACATTACCATTGTTGAGTTCTGAGCTATAATACTATGCAGTTTTGGTAGATAAAATCAAATTGTCTTTTTCTTTTTGAAGGTGACATTGTTGCAAAATACTGTAGTTTGGTAAGTTGGTTGCATTACTCTCCTATCCTTTTTGTTTAAACATTATGTAGGGTGAAAAGTTTGGTCCATTTGCTGGAGAGAAAAGAATGCCACAGGAACTGGATGAAAATACAGACTGCAGACTCATGTGGGAGGTAAGTTGCTCAGCTGGATATTACAAGCAGCAAAAGGTCTTTGGAGAAGTAGGCCTTCCGATATATTATATTACATTGCATTTCATTAGCTTAAATAGACAACTTGAACCACTTGTGGATTTTGTAAATACATTACAACAAAGCTTAGCTTCACTAGAAATGTTTCAGGGATTTGATGATGGTGATGTTTTAAGAGAAATTATACATACTTCTAAAGGAATAAGTCATAACACATCCTAGTAATTCATGGGGAGCGATCAGTGAAATTCACTTTCAGCCAAGCTGAGCAAAATGTGAAAAAATAAACAAGCATGGTGAGAAATTGATTAGCACTGACTTTTTTAAAAAAAAGCTAAAACAGTAATATAGTTGTTGCTATGATATTTTGATTAATTTTATCCTGTCAGTGGCCTTTTAAAAGATGAACATAATATAGTAGAAGATTAAAAATAGTAATAATTCTAAAAGCAGAACTAGGAATTTTGGCACTGGAGTGGCATGTGCATGTACCAAGCAGTTACCTCCCTACACAGTGGTGGCTGCTGTAACTGTGCGAGATCCTCGACTATGGGCTCCCCATGGGCTGCAGTTTTGAAACCTTTCTGTCCACCTCCCTCCTCCACTAATTGGCCATCAGCTCCAGTGCCTATGACTAGATCCAAAAAGTTAATTCTGCTCTTTGATACTTATTAGTTTGTAGTTCTGCTCTTTTTGATGTTTCAGAATCATCAAGGTGACAATATGGTGGCTGTTACATGTTTATTTCATAGCTTTATGTTTATGTGAAGAGAGATTTTTAAATATATATATTGTTGTTTTAGTCCTGCTTTGCATTAGGTCATACGATTGGAAGGTTAGCTTTTTTACTTTTTTTTAAATTCTACTGGATATTTTATTTTAAGTAATCTATAACTTTTTAAGTATTCAATAACTAAGAAATTTAAAACTAGTTGAAGTTGAGATTTGGAACCCCCCCCCCCCAAGCTGTGAAATTTCTTTTGAAATTTCTTCTCCTTAATTTATTGCAATTCTTATGGAAATTTTTTTTTCTATGACATTCTGATAGACAAAGTGCCATACTTTCTTTTTTTTAAAGCAAGCCTGCTTTTTATTTGTACTTGAGAGTGTCATGATATTACATATTAGAATAATGGTAGTGCCTTTTGAGGTTGGAGGCATAATGTTTACCATTAAATGGATTTTGCACTGCTAAACAACAAGTGAGTGGATGCTAAAAGCTAGTCTTGTTATCCAAACTCCATCTAGGGAAATACAGGTCTGCCATACCTTTTTAGTTGCTTGCGTAGTTATAGCAAATGGTTGATCTTAATTGGCCTCATCAATTACAAAAAATGTAAATTTACAGTCTGTTGCTTGCTGAATGACTTGCCCCTTGTTATCTTACAATTACCTCACCGTTTCAATACGTTCCTGCAGGTCATCTTTAGTTGATAGCGGTGCCCGTAGATGTGCGGGGAGGCTGCTCCAAAACACTTTAATTACAGTGCTTCAGCAGCTTCTGCGTCTCATCCCCATGCTTCAAAATGGTGGTGGGGTGCTTTAACTGAAGCTCATTCAAAATGGTGGTGGGAATGCTGATGCATGAGATGCAGTGGGTGCTTTAATTAGAGTGGCTCATGGAGCATCCCCATCCCAGACCTGTGGCACATGTAAAAACGCCATAAGATACTCTAGCTAGGGTAGCCTTTATAAGATGTTGGGTGGATTTAGGCATTAGTAAGAAGGACTCTTAATTTAAGTCAATCAGGAAGTGCAATACTCTTCTAGATGACCTATTGCTGATGTTTACATCGGAATTTAAACTTACTTCAACAAGCAAACAGTACAATCAAATACTACTGGTGACACTAATATGACCCCAGTGACAGCAAAACAGAAATTGGCTTATAAACATTATTCTAAAACTATTCTGCAACATTTTATTCCATTGTACTTCTGAAAGTCTCTAAAAGATTGATGCATACCACATTTTATGAATTCCTGAAGGTTTGAACCTAGGTGGTACTTATTTACCAAAGTTGGTCTGAACATAGATTTTATAATGTAATTTAAATAATACTGAGAGTAACATTGAATTCAAAATGTATAACATTGATGCCATTAAATGTGTAAGGTAAAAAGGAGTTGAATGCTCCAAATAGATGATTATTCCAGAAGCTGTTCGGGGCAGTTAAGAGGCGCTAGCCAAGTTAGTGGCTATTTAGTTGAATTAAATACAATGCAAATAAATAAGTCAGTGACCAGGAAAACTACAGTTCTGTGAAGTATAAATGCAATGAAAATCAAAATAGTGATTTTTTGGGGGGGAATAATACATTTATAAAAAAAGCTGAGAAGCAAAATTCTTTTCATTTTCCTGGCTCAGATAAATATGGATGTGACAGAACTTGTTTTCTGACTGTGGTGTGTGTGATTTTAGTTCCAATTTAGTGGGACCATCTTGTGTAGGAATCAGTGGAAGTTTAGTCTTTCTGTTGGCAAAGATGGATGCTTAATAATGTTTACTATATAAATTTCCAGTTGTGCACCAGAGCTAGTGGTCTGTGATGTGGTCTGTTATGATCAAACTACTTGATCTGTGATGAGACCATCATTTTGAATTGGCTTCTTCAAGAGGTCACTCTGAGAAAGATCTGGACATTTATGTTTTCCTTTCGTCTTTGTAAAACACGATGCTTAAAATGCATTCCTGTGTGTTCTAGTGAGCCATGGTAATTTTGTTAAAGAAGGTTCTGAAAAATGTCAATATTTGGGATTATAAGGTTAAGTATAGAAGAATGTTGTCATTCTGCCTGCAATGTTGATGGCAATTCATACCCTTTTGAAGAAATCAGACATTTACATTGCTTGTTTAAGAGACTCTAGAGGATTGAAACAAGACCATCCTTGATGCAGGTGTCAAATTCATCTCACTACAGAGCTACTTATTGAAACATTTTATTGACAAGCCACATGTCAATTAAACTAAGCCTATAAACCAAAAAATCGAAATAATAAAAGCTTAACATGGCACCGTTTCCCCAGTGCTATCAGTTTCTTGGATTATTTGCACGTAATATACTATATAGGTAATCTATAAAAGAGAGCCTTGTTTTAGGCTACATAATCCTTGGGTCTCTTGATGGAATTCTATCTTGGTACATTGCAAAAGTCCATCTATTTTTATTCATAATAAGACTCAGGATGGTGATTTCAGATTTTGGTTTATTTGTTCAAAGGGTAGGCGCTGAATATTTTTCGGGAATTATGTTTCACATAGCTCTTTGCCTCTTGAGGCAACTCAGATGGCTCTCTTGGTATTTTGTTTTCCACCCTCTGTGAGGGGAAGATGTTCTCTTGCATATATTTTATTTGATGTCCCAAAACCAAGCAAGTTGCTTCTTATTTTCAGTAATATTGGATTATGGCAAAGATATGTATTTTTAGTGAACTTTACATCAGAAAGGACTAGAAAGATTTTGTTCACATTTCCTGATGGACTATGTAAGAAAGTTAGCCTAAGATTAGACATAATACACTTAAAGCACTGAATATTGTATATTTTAGTTTTGGTTTCTGTTGCTCTGCCAAGATTTTTTTTTCCCTTCAGTGCTATAAATTAAATCTGAGAAGAACAGACACATGCTAGAAATCAGTAGTTTTATAGTAACTACCACTCATGTTTGTTTATATTAGAGAATAAAATGAACATTTGTTTCTGCTACTTACTCTCAATGCTTGCAATAACAAGTTGGTTTTAGTTATAAATATGGATCTGTGGAAAGTCTCCCCTTGATGTCAGTGGGATTTGGATTAGATGCACGATGATTATGATCAAGGTCTGAGACACTGAAAATGCTTAGTTAATGTTGGACAAAATTCTTTCAGTTTTCCTTTTAGAAACATGAGTGTGGTGTGTGAATGTCTTTATATACAGGCAGTCCTCGACTTAAAAGTTTTTGAGTTACAACATTTCGCACTTACAACATTTATCAATTGACACCCTGTTTCAACTGTATGACATTAGTTTCGACTTTACAATGCTTGATCTGATGCAATGCTATGCCAACGAACAAGTTCGTTGCATTGCCCATCTCCCTGGAGAATATCTGTTCGAACTTCCTTGGACACTGTCTTTAAGAAAGCAGGCAAGGCTCCAGAAAAACCTGCAGCCAAGACTCTTGAGAAGACTGCAGTCAAGAACCCTTCAAAAAGTGCAACCAAGAGCCCTTCAAAAAAATCCGGCAAAGTCACCTCAAAGAAGTCCTTCCAAATCAATATGATTTCTATTTACAGTATAAATACATTAATGTAGCTATATTACTCATCTATAATTGGTTGAGTACTAAATTCTGGGGTATTTTTGGTGAAAATAGGATATCGGGCCTTGGTTCAGGAACAAATTCCCCATTTATAACATTGTTTCCTATGGGAAAATTGGTTCCAAATTACGTTTCAACTTAAGACGCAGTTTTCAGGAACCAATTGTGTCATAAGTCTGAGGACTGCCTGTACAAGGAACCATGTCATCATGTGACAAACCCTTCTGAGCTGAACCCTTGAGTTCCACTCTCTTGCAATTAGCCCTTGGAGCTCTCTTGTCCATGGCAGACTCCTCTTTTCCAGGCATGCCTGGGTCTCACTTGTAATTCACTGGGCCTTAAAGCTCAGTAGAGGAGACTATCTCCAGCCCTAAAGTTTTCTTGGGTTTGAAAAAGGAAATGAAGAAGGATTCCCTTTTCCAAAGAAGTGGTATACCTATTGCTGTCAGTTGCCCTACAATCCCCCTTATCACAAGACAAGTGTTAAGGTACTAAGCAGAACAGATTTACTATACAGAATTTCTTAAAATGGTTAAAAAAAAAAAAGATTTGGTGTATTTGGAGACAACACAGGCAAAAAAAAAAAGATAAAAGAAAAGAAAAAGTCTGCAGATTGTAATACTTCAACCCTACTTTCTCTCTAACTTGTAGCAGTCTCTTAGTGAGTTCTTAACCTTT